AGCTCTGTGGTCTAACTCTGTGTACTGCCAGCACAAGGTCCTTAGACAATTTGTATAGCACATAGCTACTAAGAAAACCTTAACAAGCAGCATAATTATTGCTGAAATATATGCAGGATGTTCAATTGGACTTTAATGTGTAATTTTCCATTTTATTGGAGTGTACCTTAACACATGCAATGCCTGACTGCATTTTACACTGCTTTGGAATAGTAGACAAATCCCCTGAGCACAGTTTTGAAGTAGTTATTGCGCTATTGAGCAGCAAAGGTTCACAATCAAAAACATCTGCCCAATTTCTGATTTATAATCACGATGACCCCTAGATCTGGCCAATCTCATTTATCAATAGGTATGAGCAAGGGCTCATGTCATGGCCATTTGCATTTTCCTTCTGACATGAGATTGTGAAGTATTTGTGGATGGATGTTACATCCAGTGTTAAATGTAGATTTTGCTTTTTATTTTCTCCATACAAGCTAACGTGAATACATCTAAAATTTGTCCCAAACTGACCTTGAACGTCTCACAAATTTGAATATTCTGTATTTAACTTGCACTTGTGACGTTTCAATACAGTTTTTTTTGTTTTGTTTTAAAAAGGAAAAAATAAAAGGTAGAAAAAACAAAACTCAATATTGCCATAGGCTGTTGTACTTTGCACCCTGCACCATTGACTCTTGCTCTGCTCTTGATAATTAGTGATGCTTGGATTGGTTGCAGCATAAGATAATATTGTGCTTTATTCGAATAGTCTAAGGATGACTCTTTTTTTTTTTTCCCCCCCAGCATCTGTCCTATTTTACCTTTGGTAATGTCCATAACTATAGTGGCCATGTTTTCTGAAATTGTCCACCATTACATTAGACTTATTACTTTTATCTCTTGTAATGCTTTTGACAGATTATATAAGTAGCAGAGTGTTACCATCATAATAGCCAGGGACAGCATTTCAACTTGCTGCCTACAGTCTATAAGAAATGGTTACTATGTGCTAAGGTTCCAGGTAAGGTCCTTATCCACTTATTTTGGACTTCAAATTTGACACCTCTGCAGGGTATTTAAGCGTAGAAATTAGCATATAAATAGAGGCCATACTGTTGGCTGTTTAAATAAACTAAAGGGAAATATTATTATTCATATTGACAAGTAGTTTAAACATACTGTAATTTATAGAGTACAAAATAAGCTTATGGCTGAAAGTTGACAGTGAGGAATGCAACCTGCTAACTTGTCTAGTCTGGGCAGTTGAAACACTTTATTATAGAGGCGCTTTATTTGCAAACCTTGCTTTTTTATTTCATGTACCACTTAATGTAAATTATTTATGTACAGACTGCATGCTTTGCAATGCAAAAATAACACTAAATAAATGTATTTGTTTCAAACAGGCAATTTATCTCTTAAAAATGAAGGCTAGCTCAAATGTGGTCAGCATAAGGTCATATTAAAATCATAAGCAATTTGCATCTGATAATTATCAGTTAATGTAAAAAATGATATATTATTCCTGGCCTGAAAAGAAAAAATATTCCCAAAATCAAGGAGCCAGCTACCAAAAGTTAGGATGTAGTATATATGTACAGTTCTTCACCGCAGCGGCAATATATGCTATAGCCAATCTCCCTATATACAGTTGTTTTTTTTCCTCTGCCACAGCTATATATACTCCCTTCTAGCACATATAATTCTTGGCTCTAGTTGGCATGTGACTGGATGTTGAGGTTCCATGAAACCAAAGCACCGTGGAAACATCCTTGCATTTTGCACAGTCGCCTGTCTGACAAATATTTCTGTAACAGACAACTTTTCTCTGTCATGGTTCTTTATTTTAATTTTCCATGGAAAAATAGGCAATTTGCTAGGTGCATGTGTGCTGCAGTAGAACATCAGATACATTGGGTCATATTAGGCAGGAATTTTTACAAGTCTGGGCTACTCTGTAGAGCCTTTCTTAGCGTTCTCCTTTAGGTTTCAGATATGCAAACAGGTATGGGGAAGGCTCATTTCATGTTTGGCAACCTTATTTTTTACAGCCGCTTGTAAAGCCTTTTAGGCAAGCCTTTTGCTAGGTGCATGTGTGCTGCAGTAGAACATCAGATACATTGGGTCATATTAGGCAGGAATTTTTACAAGTCTGGGCTACTCTGTAGAGCCTTTCTTAGCGTTCTCCTTTAGGTTTCAGATATGCAAACAGGTATGGGGAAGGCTCATTTCATGTTTGGCAACCTTATTTTTTACAGCCACTTGTAAAGGGGTGTGTTCCCAGGCCTTGGTTCCTTGGGCTCAGAATTACATGTTTTTGGTTAACGAGATCAGTTGTTATCCAAGGGTGGCTTAAATAAATGAATAAAATGTGGGTCCTGCGCTCTTCTCTCTGAGCACCTGTCTGTGCTGTAATTGTTGCCTGCTATAAATCCTTTTCAGGCTTGATAAAGAGGCTTTGTGCCTTGAAACGCGTTGCCGCTGCTACTTTCTACCCACTTCCTTACCTGCATGCCAGCTCTCCCAAGGTGCTGCTATTGTAGCCCGATCTCTGCGTTGCTAAGCAGTGGCCATTCTGTCACAGCAGCTCCACTTGTTCTTCAGTTCATCCACAGTCCGGTTTTTATAGCGTCCTTAAACTGAGATTGCCTTAAAGGGTTGGGGCTAAGAAGACATCACATGCTTCCTCATTTAGATGGCTATAAGAAATATGCCGGAAGCACAGCTTTTAAGTGATTAATATGCATGATAGAGGGATCACTGTTTAGTGTATAGAATTCCGTTTATACATTATCATTGTTTGAAAACTTCTATCCCTTTAAGAGACAAAGCCAAACTGTGTGCCCATTTTCTACACAGATTGTCAGTGTAATCATTTCTCTAAGGGGTATGATATAAATTTGGATTAAATATTGATTTCAGCAAACGTGGTAAATGAGCAGGACTTGTTTTGATATTGAGAAACATTGCGTGACTGGAGTGTTGTGGGATAGAAAACAGAACACAAAATGCTCACGTATATATTGACCTTTTCTAAAATCTGCTTTCCATCCTTGAATTTCAGATCTTTTCTTCAGAGTTTATTGGCAGTGCATGTAGATTAAAGTGAAATCCACCCTTCAAATACAATTTAAAAACCTTCTGCTACGGCTGACATTTTCGAAGCAGTATGTTAGGATGGTTAGTTTCCGGCAGGAGTAATATGAATTTGTTGTTTCGATGTGCTATATACACTGAGTGGCCAGATTATTATGACCACCTGACGTTTGTAGGCAAATTAGCTATATTTTCACGCTGAAGTTGCTAGAGGGCCAGACCATCATAAATAGGGAAGCAGGTTGTTTACCACGACAGTAGAAGTGATTTTTTTCTGAAGATATGGGTAAACAACGCAATTTAACAGCCTTTGAACATGGGATGATTGTTGGCGCTCGGAGCCATGGAGTGAGTATCAGCAAAACAGCAGAATTCGTTAAATGTTCAAGAGCAGCTGTTGTTAAAGTGTTTAAAGACTGGACTGTCAGCCGAAAATCTGGGTCTGAACGTGTGAATTGTGGCCGTCAGCGACTAGTCAATGTTAGGGGAGAACGGAGAGTGGCAAGACTGGTACAACAGAAGGGCAACAGTGCATCAAATTACTGCAGATCCTAATCAGGGATCCTCTCAAATGATCTCTGAACGCACTGTTCGAACGTACACTGCATCGTATGGGATATGGAAGCCGAAGGCCTGTTCAAACACGTTTGCTGTCTGCAGTTAACAAGATAAAACGTCTCCAATTCGCACAGGAACACAAGGATTGGACAGTCGAGAATTGGAAAAAGTAATGTGGTCTGATGAATCGCATTTCCAGTTGCATCATGCAGATGGAGAGTGAGAATTTGGCGGGAACAGCATGAAAGCATGCACCCCACATGCACGAGTACAACCCTTCAAGCTGGTGGGGGCAGTGTTATGGTTTGGGGCATGTTTTCCTGGCATGTTTTGGCCCTTTAATTTGTGTGGAACAACGTCTGAATAGCACAACATACCAAAGTATCTTTGCTGATCAAGTTCATCCTATCATGTTAATGGCGTATCCAAATGAAGATGGCTTCTTCCAACAAGACAATGCGCCATGCCACGGTGCTCGTTTTGTGCAGGAGTGGTTTCAAGAACATGAGGGAGACTTTACCTTGCTTAGGTGGCCCCCAAATTCACCAGATCTCAATCCAATTGAGCATTTGTGGGACAAAGTTGAAAGAGCCATCAGGCAGCTGGTTCCACAACCATCAAATCTCACAGAACTGGACAGTGCTATTCATCAGGCATGGTGTCAGATTCCTTGCATCACCTTTCAACATCTCGTGGAGTCAATGCCAAGAAGAATCGCCGCAGTATTGAAGGCAAAAGGTGGCCCAACGAAGTACTGATGGTGGTGGTCATAATAATCTGGCCACTCAGTGTATATCTACTGATGATGTGGAGATTTGGTCATTTTTTTTATAAATGAAAGAGAGTGGCAATTTTTATGTATTCTAGCTAAAAATTGCATTTGCAAATACAGCTCGATGTGTCAACTTGCTTGATAATCAATGTAGACATGGGTTATGAAAATCTAAGGCAATAAATGGTTTACCTAGTTATGTCATTTAGGGAAATGATTAAATTATTACAAATATCTGATGTGTACTACATGCATCTGGCTGTATATATATTATTTACATGTTCAGTGTTTAAAACTAATGCCTTACGGCATTGCTGGGTTCTCTATAATTTAGAAATGACTAAATTAATGAGCCTATCCGGTGCAAAGTTTTGTTTTTCCTGTGGCTTTATGGGACAGGATTCAGACACAAAGACATCTTGTAAATCTCACGTTTGGAGTGTTTAGCGATCTATTGTAGGAAGCTCTGGGATCATTGCACTCACCTGCTATTCAAAAGTGAAATGTTATAAAAAGTGAAAATGCCTTTTTCCTATACACCTATCTGGTCGGGCTTTTTGTTTTTTACCAACCTGTTTTTTGTCCTTAGGAGGATATGAATTTAAATGAAGATCGAAAAGCACCATTACGGGAGAAGGACATTGCAACCAAGAAAGAGATGGTCACGCAGTACATCAGCACCGCTTCACAAGCCGTGAGTATGCTGTAAAAGTATGCAACTAAGTTTTTAGGAGGTTATCAGTTCCGAATAGTGAGGAGGATGGAATAAAAAAAACAATTATGCAAGGAAATTCTAAGCACTATGCTAGTAAATTACCCCTCTAAAATATTAAATATGCTTCATTTATAAAGCGTCATAGCTGCTACCCTTAGATTCTGTAAAGGGCAGACTTCAGTGAAGTACTTGCTAACGTTGAGGACATAGCTGCAAATTTATGTTCCTAATCTTCAGTAATTCTACCATTACCTTCAAATGTGTTTTATTTTAAAGTAGCTAAGCTATACATTTAGAAATCTCTAAAAAAGCCTTTTCATTTTATCTATCATATTAAATATAAATGTTTTCTTATATTCAAAATCTCATAAAGAAATGATCATCATCAACTATTTGCTAGCAAGCACCTTTTTCTTTTTATGTGCACCTATAGCCAAAACTTTTTTCTTTTTCATTAATTGAGGGGCACAGAATTCAGTTATTCTGAGACAGTTGTATTATACTAGCAAAACAAAATGGCAAATGCACTCATCAATTCGTCACCAGCTTTACAGCAAGGTGCACATGGAAGGTGCACATACAGTACAACAGCAAAAGGTTTCCCAGCACACTCACCAGCCAGCATGCAAAAAAACTTGTCTCCATGATGGAGACTCTCATAGTTTAGAGTTAGGACCGCACTATATAGAGGTGCCTTGGCAAGGCGGTGCGGCTTTCACATTTTCTGCAGAAGACGTGTATCTAAACCTCTGTTTTTAACCTTAGCGGTGAGACAAGATTTTTTGCATGCTGGCTGGTGAGTATGCTGGGAAACGTTTTAATGTTGAGTTGTATTATACTGCCACGTACAGGAGCATTTGAACAGAAAAGCCGTTGGCCAGCCAGGTATAACCTCTCCTACTCCCAGCTCACTTGTTTTTTTCTAATGTCTTAGAAAGATGGACTTTTTTTCGTTATTGAAAAACGTTGACACATTTTACTATACATTTTATTTTTTTTCTCAAAATATATATATTTTTTTGCTTCAGGCTTGGTTCACACCATTTTCCGGGCCAGATCTGGATCGGATCTGGAACATAGTGCACTGCACTATGGCGACCTTTGGGCACTGTGCTCTGCCTGTGGCACTTTCCAGACCTTTGTGTGCTGTCTTAGCTGCTGAGCTCCTTTCCAGGTTCAAAACAAGGTCTCTGATGTCTCCCAGTCTCTGAACTAAGGTGCGCTGGTGATATTTCCTATTTGCTCCAGTGTATGATGGCTCCCTCTGTGTGTAAGCACATGGATGTGGTGAAGAAGCTTGTAATGTGGACTTTAAACACTAGGCTATGCGTTGTGGCGCTTTCCAGGCCTGTGTGCTCTGCGTCTGTTAACCGCAGAACATTTTGCGGTTTCTGCCTCTGGTGTAAGCTCCTTGTGTAAAGCTCCTTGTGTAACCTGGTATGTTGCCTTTGTACCAGATAGTGCTCTGCATTGTGGCGCTTTCCAGACCGTAGTGTACTGTGTTAGTTAGCCACAGAGTGCTCTGCAGATCCAGCGCTGTGGCACAGCTTACCTTGTGACCCACATCGCTTCACCCTCTGAGTGAGTCTATTAATTGTGGTTAACATATCCTGATATATACTCTTTGGACAATGGACTCTTTTGTATGACACTTCTCAGTCCTCCTTGTACTCTATTAGTAACCTACAGATTCCTTTCAGTTTTATAGAGCAGTAGCACAACTTTTTAGTGTGACCTAGTCTATCAAATCATTTACTGAGTTTGCCCAGTAAGACACCATTCACACTGAGCGACATGCAAATCGCGCGACTTTGAGCGACTTTGAGCGACGTTGAGCGACGTTGAGCGACATCTTCCTATTGGGCTGTATGCAATCAGGAGCAATATCGCTCAAAATCGCTCTAAAAAAGGGTCATGTAGAAGCGACAAGCTACCAGCGACGAGCTACAAGCGATATTGAGCGATATTGAGCGACGAGATGTGAACAGCTACATTGAATTGTATTGGTGAAGCTACATAGAGCGATATAGTGCGGAAATATGAGCGATATCGCTACAAAAATCGCGCGATAAATCGCTCAATGTGAACGGGGCCTTAGGCGTCAGTTATGGCCATTGCCTCATGGTTTTGACAGTTGGATGTCTTTTCCAATTTCATGCCTAAGGGAATTTAGTAAATACATCATCCACTAGGTGTAATGTTAAGCATGCATGCTGCTTTTCTGCCTTTTGGCTCAAGAAGGTTAAAAAGAAAGCTCCGTCCTGCTTACTACTACTGGTGCTTTTAAGCTCATCGTGGATCAACTGGTCTCTGGTATTGCTCTGCTGTTCATGTACAGTGACCTGATGATCTTCAGCTGTCTACTGCCCTCATCAGTACCAACTGCTTTGGTTTGGGAGTACACAAGGCCTTCCCCTATTTTGGGCCTGGTTGCTTACCAATAAGCAGTTCAACATGTCTTTTAAAAGATGGTAAGAAGACAGTCCCTCTGCAATGGTTGACCTTGTCCCTTATGCTGACCATACACAGTTTGAATTTAGTTGGCAGAATTTAAACTGTGTGGCCCTGCTTTCCTAACAGTGACTGCAGCCAGCCAGTTGCCGTTACTTCACAGGTATTCTGACAGCGACAATCTCTGGATGTCAGAATGCAATAATCTGGAAGGGTAGATTCATCCGCCCACGTTTTTAGCCCTATTGGACTGCTTTTTTTTAAAGCTGGCTATAAACTATTAGAATTGTGTCTGTTTCTTGTGAATCTTCTGAAACTCTAACCGTGGGTGGTCCTGTCGGAAACACCTGGCTAAAAAAAACTTTAAGTGGCCGCACAGTGACTGTAACCAATCAGGTGCTGTCACTGTTCAGCTATTCTGACAGCTGGCGTCTGGGATTGTCAGGATAACATACAATAGTTGACAGGGGAGATACCTCCATCCACGCTGTTTAGCTCAGATTAAGGAATCAAGCTATTATATGCATGTAGCCAGCTTCAGCAAATTGATTGATTAAAAAGCCCACAAAAACAATAAAAACAAACTACTAAACAGGCACCAACTAATGATTGTGTATGATTCCAAACACTGCCATAAAAACTGTTGTTTAGATGTAAGAAACTTGTTGAACGGATTGACAGACACACACTTTTTTAAAGTACCCTTTTAGGAATGTATTACCAAGGACATTGCTTTTTTAGCACTTTATGCACGTGGGCTCTCTGGATACATTTAGAAATGTTCTATTGCTACAAAAAAATATAAAATTTAAATAAATAGTGGTTCCATTTCAAATCTAAAGTTCTTACAGGAGGCATATCTGTTACATCCAGAGTACATCATAGCTGGTAAATCTGAGGTGTATGACTGGCTTTATTACTGGGGTATTATGCTAAAGGCATCCTAAATGCAATTTGTTACAGGTCTTAAGATATAGGTGGTAAAATATCTATCTCGTTTTGTCACGTGAAGGTGGACCGGGGAGGGCGCCGAGGGGGTACGGGGAAGTCTGGTAGATGCGCGGACTATCGTCACCCTTCACTCGTTCTTGGAAACAAGCCAGCATGCTGGCAGATGGTCGTGGGCACCCCCAGAGGGTCTCCTAGGCCGCAGACGCGGCGGTAGCAGCCGTAAAACAGAACATGCACACAAGTTAACCAACCTCAGCTTCCACCACCCACAACTTACAGGCGTGTGAGACACCTTTTCCTGGACACTCCTAATCTGTACACTTTGCACTCAAGCAGGCTGGCATGCAGGCGTCACAGACCACACACACTGCTCTAATTAGCAGATACAGATTAGCTAAACCAGATACTATTACCTTGAGTTGGTACATCCACTCAGTCTCCTGCATTACCGCTGGGCACCACTGGAGGGACACTCGCCTAAATCTAGCTGGCCAGACACACAGGCAAATGCAAATCTTGCATACAATCTTGAGTACTCTAATGGTTGTGTGGCAGCCTAAATGGTTTCCTTGCGCCCACTAAGATTCCCCTAGCTATCTTCTAGCTAGCTATCTATCCAGGTAGGTATCCTGGCATGGCCACTTCTTCTACTGCACGTGTGTACACACCACACACACACCCACACCCTGCCTGGCAATGACTTACAACCAAGCTTCTAGGCACTGATAATCAACTATACTGTACAACCAAGCTTCTAGGCACTGATAATCAACTATACTGTACAACCAAGCTTCTAGGCACTGATAATCAACTATACTGTACACATACAACAGACACATCACAGTCTTATCCGATTTGTGTGTTCTTTAGAGCAATCAAAAACCAGCTTATTCATTTTACATTCAGTATCCCTGGATATATTATTCATATTATTCATTTGATTCATATCTAATTGATATTTCACATTCATCATATCACATCAGATTTAATTATTTTATTATTTTATTTGTTTTGATTTAATAATAGGAGAGGTTACATTCACTTATTGTTATTCATTTTAGATGGGCAGTGCATGGAAAGGGGTAGAATTACAAAAAAGTTACAAAAACAGAAGTTATAACAATGAGACACATACAAGCAAACAGTATTAAAATGAAAAAGTGTAAACTTACAGAAATTATGATTCATCTTGCTTCTGGGGTTGGATGAAAGCGTGAACACCCCCCCCACATCAGTGGACCCCTTGGATGTGTAATTTTGCTTGGTTTCAGATCTCCACGATTATACTCTGGAGATCAAAACAAGTTCCCTCCCACTGAGACCAGCCTATCAGATGGAAGGGGATAAAGGCTACATTTTATCATCTAGGTCTAAGGTATCATTTTCTGCAGACCATCTTTGAACCCTCATAACTGTTTCCAGTTATGAATTGATCCAAATGTGATGGTTCTGGTTTCAGCTGTTGTTCTGCTATACACATAAATCTGGCACTCTACGGCTAACAGAACTGGAAATACCATAAAGAGACCCAATTATCAGAACTCCTCCCATATTGTATCATAAAACATAATACATGT